TCTCTCTCTGCTCACGTTCGTGTACAATAGCAAAAAAAAAAAAAAAAAAAAAAAAAAAAAAAAAAACTGTTCAAAACACAGACCTTTTTGTAGACGAATGCAATAAGAATCATATGACATACGATCCACGAGGTAAGTCTTCCACGCCGTTGATCGTGCTTAACGTTCTGTATCCTATACATACATCATCCTACACAAATTACCCTCCCGGAGTGGAGCAAATCACGACTTTCAGATGACTACGATAAATATATTTCAAAAGAGTCCAAGTTTCTTGCTGGACGGCAATTGCAATATGTGTGTGTGTGTTAAACAATATATCTATTTATAAGAGCGCTTATCGAGAATCACACGTGGAACCAAACTGAGAGAGAAGAAGAAAATTTGCAATAAGCTTCAATACACGCACTGGCAACACGCTATGATATGCATATTATTTAAGCATTACATCACTTGTTTAGCGGCATAAGCTTCTTACTCGTACATACGCTATATAAAAGCTGTGTATGACATATACAACAACGCAGAGAGGATCTTCCTTATATATTACAACAATGTACATATAAAATATAAACCAGCATATTTCCTAACAGTATACGCACAATTATTAACTTCCTTTCCTGGATGTAATTAACTATCTCATGCTAATATGATAGGTACCAGCAGAGGCTCTATCTGATCTGATCTATTCCTTAAAATTGGACACGCCAATCGATTGCCAGGAATAATTTTAAATCAACAACCGTCCAATTAAACTTACAACAAGAGAAGTGAAACGGGAGTCGAAGCTTGAAGGAGATTCTCTCCTCTTCGATCGTAACGCCAATTTAACCGCTGTCGAGACCGCAGGCAATTACAACAGGTCTTCTTCGTTAATATGAGATCCAGAAATCTCCATTGATCTCCCGTTGGGGATAATGAGTTTTTCTGTCCAAAGCCAATTAAAGCGTGAAGAATGACGGCTTCAGCTGGTCTAGTCTGATATGAATATGAACGTTAATGAAGACGACCTGCCCCTTCGAATTAAAACCATGTACTTCGTTGCGTTCTTTTCTTTTTCACCTACGACCGCATAATTGGCCGTAATAGGTAAGGAAGGCAAAAAATGACGGATATAATTAAAAAATACGGGCTCGATAACGTTTTTCCCCTGTATTTTCTTTTATTTATCTACGTGTAATTTGCTTTCTTGACAATAGACTGCCGATAGTTACATTTCACATTGACAGTCAGTATCTTGCCACTTCTTATCCCTTTCATTACTTAACAGACTCCGAGGATATGAAAATATAAATACAAAGGAAATTTAACGTCTTGCATCTTTTGTTAGGATAGCAAGACTATTTAAAATCTGACACGTGTATTTAAATAGTAGGCGTACTCACTCACTTCCTTGCTTACTCCTATGGCGATATTGTTAAGATTCAAACGGCGTAAATATGACCAGCTTGCCTTCCTCTCCGTAAATAAAAAATGGAGGAAAATATAGACGTCTGTCTGAGACTTACTTCAGGGGTACGCTGCACACAACACTGGGCTTCAACAAAAACAGGAGGACTTGTGAAAAACAACCATTCTGCGGTTGACCGCAAGGTGACGCTTTAGGGCAGATCGTCTGCGAAAACAGGTATCGACAGCCAATCAGAAGTAGGGTTATAGCCGCAAAAACACTGCAACCAATTATAGGCCGTTTTATATTAGGAATCACAAAGTCTTAACTTGAACTCAGGACGTGGATTCTGTCTGTAGTCTGACGAAAACGCTGTCGGTTCCCACGAG